ATATTTCATCTTCATACTTTTCTACTGGATGGTTAAGACCAAGGTAAAGCAGGACCTGTGCAACAAGAGTTGTAGCTTTTTGGTCTGACAAGGTCAGTTTTCTTCCTTTTAAAGACAGAATAGTATTCCATTGTACATCTGGCCACAGCTCACCCACTCACCCATCGGTGGATCATATTTTTGACACCCCTGGATGGTATCTGCAGACATTCTGTCTTTGTCTTGGGATGGCCATGCCACACTGACTCTCAACGTTCTGTGCCTAGTGGAAAGTTTTGACCTCTGGAGGTTGAGTGAGAAACCTTTGTTGGCTCCATTGGAATTTTGTGACTGCTGAACCCTCCGTATGATTTGGTCTCTGTCCACCCTGCCTTGTTTGTTTGCCGTGTGGTTTGGCTTTCCTTGTAGGGTTGACTGTCCCTCGTGCCAGTTTCACACCCCACCTGAAAGCATTTGACCTTTCCTCCCTACCCTCTCCCACTTAATCAGCATGTCTGGAAATATAGGCTGGCCTGATTGCTCAAAATGCAGAAATCCAGCTAAAGAGCCAAAATTCTCTGACCCAGGAGGTGTCAACCAAACTCAGATTTCTACAGTTTTCATCCTGACCTGGCCCAGAACCTTGCAGATCTTAGCGGGGCCCCAGAGATGCTTCTCCATCAGCTTGGCCCAGAGACCCCTGCTAGCACTGTTGTCCTTGGAAGTGGAAGTAACCTGGGTGTAGGGGGAGCCAGCTGCTCCAGCTCTGAATGTTCTGGGCTGGTAGCCTTCAGCCCTGGCTGCGCATGGTATCACCTGGAGAATGCTTAGAGCTCCTGAGGCCCAGGCTCTCTCTTGGACCAATCTAGCCAGCATCTCTAGATGTGAGATACCAGCTGCAGTGTTTTTATTAAAGTTCTCCGGGTATTTTCCATACCTGATTAAGTTTGAGAGCAACTGCTTTAAAGTGACCAACACCAATACGATAGGGTGAGGCAGAGCAGGAGGGACTGACGTTAGTTTTATTAGATTTGCCTTCCTGGACCCCATCCTTCCTCTCCCCGATCCTTCCCTTCTCTGATTAAAATTATGGATATATTAATGCTTTTTCTTCTTTCTTTAAATTCTCATTCCATCTCTGACTGGTACTATTCTAGCACTGGGCCAAGCATCACCTTGGGTACAAAGCACATTCCCTTGGAGTGAAAACAGGAAACAAATGTGGCAATCTCTCCAGGTGATTCTGGTGATGCTCATTTGAGAACCACTGCATTGTACGATAAGATCTTTCCAACAGGGTCACAACTAGACCCTCATTATCCCACATTAGGGAGGAGAAAGCTGTCTCTGGGTGAGTAGGTAACCTGCTTAAAGCCCAGTGGAGCTCTAGATCCAGCTTGCATTGTCTCTTGAGAACTAGTTGTGATACCTACTCCCAACTCCAAATTTAATGGTATCACTTTAGGAAGTGGAGGTATTTGTACTATGTAAATTGGCAAATGCTATAAATAAGGACATCAAGCTCATCCTGAGAGCCGTTGACATTGTTCAAGTCACTCACTGGCCCATGGTTGGTTAAACTGGGTTATGAACCCAGGCATTCCTGTTCCAGAGGACATGCTCTTTGCAACTAGGATAAATTTATTCTGGAAGGCTTGGAACTCAAGTTGGAGCCACAATGTGGAAGTATTTAAGTGCGTGTCAAAACTCAAGGCTTTATTCTGCATATACTGGATTTTTCAGAGTTTTGAATAGGCAAGTGCTATGTATATTTAGGCAGGAGAACTAAATGGTTGGCTTTGACTTTTTATTTTGTAAATATGGTGAAAAAAATGAGATGGGGGTGTGGAGTAAGGAGTCAAAATGATCTACTTCTTTGGAAAGGGCCTGTGTGGCTGGAGAGTCACCCATGTGGACAGGAGGCCATGCAGCACTGCAGAGCAGATGTCCTGGGCTCACAACACTTCCTTGTTCACAAGAGAAAGTTTTCCTGTCCCCCACTCTAATCATCTACCACAACATGTGCTGGACTTACTGGAGTAACTGCTGGCCAGAGCTGTCCCAAGAGTTTCTGTCAAGGTCAGAATTCACTCTGCCACCACCGTAGCTGACAACTTGGTATCTGCCTGTGCAGATGCTGCTGCCCCAGAGGACCAGAGACTTTGCAGGCCCCTTTCTAGTCAGGTAGCCCTGTACTTTGGGGAGACTGGTCCCAACTCTGGCCCAGAAGGTGAGTCCTTATTGGAGTTTAGCCAGTGGTCCTCAAAGCTTCTCATCTCAGGACAGTCTTAAGATTTGTAGTCTTAGGCTAGGGGTGTGTATCTGGTAGACTGCTTGCCTCACATGAGCAAGGCCCTGGTTTTTATTTCCAGCACTATATATATATTTTTTTTTCCTTTCTTTTTTTTAAACACACACACACACACACACACACACACACACACAAAACAAGCAAAGAAGCTTCCTTGATTCTTTTGTGCCTCATAATCCTGACAATTGGGTTTTCACACCATTATGTGAGATATGACTTCCTCAAACCTTGTTGGGAAATGTGCACAGAGCCCCTCAGACGTGAAGACAAAGCCTGATGTCCTATTTATGAGTGTCATACCAATCAATATCACTATATCAGAAATTAAATCAGAATAAAATTTTTATTAGCCTATATAAAAAGAACACTAGGCCCATTGAGTGACATGTTAGTATAAGCAATATATTTTTATAAGAAATTACTATATGTTTTAACATGTAAAATTTTGTGAGAATACCTAGCTGTAAAAAAGAAAATAGCTCCTTTTATAGCCCTCTTGGAGGGAGATTAAAAGTAGTGACATAGAGGCTGGAGGCAAAACACAGCCTCTCTGGGACCAGGAATCAGACACCTAAGAAACAACAACTCAGTGAAGAGAAGAAGTAGAGCTCTGGGAATCAAGAAAGATCTGACAGGAAAACTAAAACTACAAGGAGCTGGAGAAAATGAAGACAATTCAGAGAAAAGAAAGCAGGTAGGAATGCCAGCTCCCAGGAAGAGTTCCTGTCTCTGTAAACACAAGGTAAGTCAGAGAGAATGGGCAGCCTCAGTGAGAAACAAGGACTGGCAGTACTAGCCCCAAGAAAAACCCATGGTATTACAAGTACAAATTCAGTATAAGGGGTTTGCTCTACAAATGATTCTTTTCTTTTCTTTGTTTCTTTTTGGAGGAACTGGGGATTGAACTCAGGTCCTTGCGCTTGCCAGACAAGCACTTGTTCTACTGAGCTATCTCCCCGATCCCACTGAGCTATCTCCCCAACCCCACTGAGCTATCTCCCTTTCCAATGGCACACTGGAACTGGGGAAGCAATGTACAGCAGCACCCACCATACTTGGAAGTGACATAATCAGAAGCCACTTGGGGAAGGGTTTATTGTCCAGGGCCAAGCTTCTCTAGGAATCAGAAGTCACTGGGTAATTACACCTCAGGGTTTCTGAGGTTTCCTACCATAGTGACTGGGTAGGAGGCACCCAAAAGACAGGAACAAGGAGAAGGAGTTGGCTAGTTGCAGAGCCCCTGAAAAGTTTAAGGAACTGTGAGCTAAGATTGTGGAGGACACAACAGTCCCATCATCCGGAGAGAAGCCAGGCCAGTCACGCATGGTATTTCTGAGGGGGCTCAGTCTATAAATGCTTATATGAAGTCCAATGGGCTGCTCACTTTCCGCAGAGCCTGGTGGTCTGTTTGCTTTTCCTGCCAGTGTTGCCTTGACTTGGACGGTTGCCACATCCTGGGGTATATGGGCAGAGTGCATTCTGAGCAAAGGGGGCCTCACATGATCCCAATGGCTGTAAATCTAGGTGGAAACAGCAGTGGCTTGGGGCACATAGAAGGACACAGACACGAAGGGCTGCTGGAGTGAATGCAGTTCTAAGGCAGACACTACACCATCGACTGACTATGCTCAGCAGGAGAGATGCGACGGGACTGAGCTTTCATACAGGAAGAAGCGGGAAAGGAAACAAAACAGGACCTCGTTGTGATTCACTGTCTTTCACCCATATCCAAAACCACAAGCCCTGAGAAGAAACCAGCCACCCAAACATGCACAAGGACCTTTTGGAACTCATTTTTCTTTTTGTTTTGGTTTTATTATTTCTTTATTTTTTTGCTTTTAACTCTTATTATTTTTCTTAGTTTTATTTTTCTTGTATTTTATGTTACTTTTACCTAATTCTCTTAACTTTCTCTTGTTTTTTTTTAAATTGGATTTTTTCCTTTCACTTATTCTCTCCTTCTCTTCCTTCCAATTTTCCTTTTTAAAAATTTGTTCCCTCCCCATCCTCCTCCATTTTTATTGTTGTGATTAAGCTTTATTAATATCTAGCCATTTAGAGGACTATGCTATTGTTGTTGGATTCTTTTATGTTGTTAATGGAGGCATAGTTTTGCTTTTAATAGATATTGTATGTCAATGTTTGGTTTGTCTTTGAGGTTATGTTATTATTGCAGATCTCTTTTCTATTATTAATGATGTTATACATATAACTATTACTATAGATGCAGTTCTTATGACATGTCAGTATTTGGTTTGTCTTTGGATCGATTATTATTGCTGATTTCATTTTTACTGTTAATGAAGGCATAGCCATGGCTTTGAATTGGTTATGACTGGATGCCAATATCTGGCTTATCTCTCTGTAACCAACATCACTGCAGTTCATTTTCTCCTCCTTCTGTGATGGCAGAACTCAAGCTCCAAGAAGGCATCTGGACACTAAGAAGCTCTTCAAACATTGTGCTGAATAAGTTGAAGAAAGATTAACACCAGAACATGGCCAGGCCCAAGGACGCATCATGAGGAGACAGAATCTAACTAAGGAGAGCTCCACAGCAGTGACATATTCTCTGCCCTAATTGATCTTTAACCCACTCAACACCGACAACAGAAACATGAGAGAGCAAGGCAACAAGATGCCTCCCCAAACTCCTAACTTCTCAGGAGCTGATCTCATGGACGCCGAAGTAGAGGAAGCTATAGGTGAGGATGGCAAAAAACAAGAAGTTGAATGTGTAAAGAGATAAAAGAAGAAACATATAAGTAAATGTGCAAGATGTTTAGTGAAATCAAAGAGAATTTAGTTAAACTGATAAAGGATTTTACCAATGCAATGTTAGATGAGCTTCAAAGAGAAATAATAAGCTAATTGAATTAAATAAGACAGTATAAGATATAAATGACTGGGCTGGGGAGATGGCTCAGTAGAATAAGCGTTTCCCTGGCAAACGCAAGGGTCTGAGTTCAATCCCCAGTTCTGCAAAAAAGATATAAACAACCACTTTGGAATAAGGTTTTTTTTTTTTTTTTTCTTCCTCGAATGCCTTCAGGGCACTTTTGGCCAGCGGGAGAGTTGTG